CCTGGAGCTGGACTAAAGATTGGATTACTCCTCCTACAAAAGAGCCTTCTAGGGATGTGGGAAAGGATTCTGACACAGAGGAGGAAGATGTGTTATAATCTGTAAATGGGACTAGTAGACCCAGAAATGAGCAAGGCAGTAGTTGAGAGTCACTCAGCTTCAGACACTGTTGGCAGGCAAAGTGAAGCTGGATCAGCCACCACTAATCCCAGAGCTAAGGAGGACAGAGAAATTCCAGACAGTCCAAGTGATTGTCCTCACGGAGATAACCTGAGTTTGGAAGGGAGTAGGGGCATTCATATTCGTATCAGCTTCTCAATAGGCCACATTTACATAATGCCCAGTATTCAAACTTGTTTGTGTGCATAGATATTGGGGCAGATAAAACACCTTTCTGGACTGTGAAAATGCCCTGTCATAATCACTGAACCATAAATAAAATCTGTCATTTAGAACTAAGAAATGAAGTTAAGACTGGCTAATAAAATTATAATAAAATTTATACCAAAGAACATGCATTCATCATAAAACATTAATGCATTTTGTTGGCCTCGTCATGTACGGCAGTCAATGCAAATTGCACAAAAACACAGCCAGAAAGCAGCAGGGGGCAGCAGCTTACTAGAAATGATTCAGGTATTTCCAAGAGGCTACACCAAGGTCATCCTATTTTTCTCTTTTTCTTTTGGGAGGCAGTTTGCATATTTTCCTCTTAACTTTTCAGCATCCAAACAAAGGAGAAATTAAAGAGACTGATATGATAAACAGCAGTGAATTGTTTCCATTTTGTTATTCTGACTCTCCAGGCCTACCTGATCAAGCTACATCTATCACAATGAAAAGAAGCCAGGGAGGAGCTTCAGGCCTAAATCAGTGCAACCGTGTTTTTGAGAGTAAGCATGATCACCTGCGCTGGATCACTGCCAGTGGAATTGCGTTTGGGCACACTGTCACATTTGCACACATCCTAATGTGGATGGAGTTTCACATCCAAGTGCACATTCCTTTGGAAGCTATGCAGCATCTACATTGCCCATGTGCAAAAGTACATCCTCTTCACTTCTTAAGCTGTGAAAGGCTATAGCTCTATTTCCTGCCTTCATAATTAAATAAAGGAAAACATGGGCTTGGAGAATGAACTCCTCCATTACCTCCAGTATAACCCTACAGGTATTGTCTCTGACAGTATTGATTTGGCAAATCTTTGTTCCCTGTAACTTATTTGTAATTCTTAGGCCCCTTTTATTTCAAGGTGCTGATGAAGCATGAATAAGGACTTTCGTTTTAAATATGCATGCACCTTAAAAGAGGTACTGACCTTCTGATGATTTGGCAGCTTTAGCTTCAGTGGGATTTAAACCACTAAAGTGTACATTGATTTCAAGTGAGAAAATGTAAAGTAAGGCACATTAAAGGTCACTTAATTGTAAATAAAGCTCAGAATTCTGAAGTATAAGGTTGCAATTTTCTATGCACCTAGGTGAGAGTAACCTGCACTGAACTCAATGAAACTTACTTCTAAGTAGACATGCGTAGAACTATACTGCAAGTGTTTTCAGAAGCAGGGCAGAAGCTTGCCAGAAAAAGAATAAGAAAAAAGTCACTAAGGAAGTGCCCTTTCTCCTAAATGCATTGTGTAAACAAAATCAGTATGAAGGATCTTTGAATTTTGTCTGCAGTTCATAATGGATTTGTTCATTAAAATAATGAGGTCAGTTTTTTCAGTATCTGAATTGAAGGAGGAAAGAAGCAAATCTATATTTCCATTAAGGGCAGCAGAACTTTTCTAATTAGATGGATAACACTTCACAAAGAACAGTCTACTTAATAAAGAAAAAAGAGCCCTTTTAAATTCAATGAACATTGAACCCTTCTGCCAGCTAGTCCAGCCTTCTGGTCCCATGGGGGCCAATCTGATGCCTACTGAAAGTCCAGCAAATACACAAATACAGTAGGACCCTCTATACAGCACCTGTATTGCTTGGGCAATACCAGATACTAATATTACAAGAATTACAAGAAAATGACTAGACACAATTTTATGCAGCTCTCCTATGTCTCACCTTACTTGCCTTTCCCCCCCTAACCTTAAAAGCCCCCAATATGGTAACCTTCCCTCACAGAGGATTTGCTTCAGCCTCTTCATCATTTTGCTCACCAGTTCTACAACATTTTCTGTACTTTTTCCAGTTCTACAAAATTCTTTTTCAAGGTGTGGTAACTTAGAACTGCACACAGTATTCCAAGCGCGGTCACATTATATAGATATATAAAGGCATTATGATACTGGCAATTTTATTTTTGAATCTCATCACGGGATTTTTTTCAGAGTAGCCACACTCCGAGCCAATGCTTTCAACAAGCCATCCACCACAACCCAAGCTTCCTTTCCTAGTCAATAACCGCTAGCCTAGACAATACTGTTTATGTGCCGTTTGATTCATTTTGGTAGTTTGTGTGTTCCTGTTTTGCCCCTCTGTGCCCACTTTATATTTCCCTACATTTGAGTACATTTGGTACTCAATTTCCATTCCCCAGCTTGGAAAGATCTTACTGGGGAAGCTCTTCACTGTCCCTTTTGTTTGAACCGTCCCCAGTTTGGTACTGTCAAACAGATTTTTCAAAAACATTTTCAACTGGAAAAGATTCCAGTGCAAATTAGTTCCATTTGCAAAGAGACACCTGAAGTTTGCATCTTAAAATATGAGGTTGGCCTACAGCCAAAGAGGTAACTTATCCAGAAGATTTGGCTTACAATTCCCATCATCCCTTGCCATTGGCTTTTCTTGCTTGAGATGACAGAAGCAGTAGGCCAAACCTTCAGGAAGTCCACAGGCTGTCCACCCTTTCCACACACAGATCTAATTTAACATGTTTCTTTTGCAGGTATTTCATGAACAAATCTGAAAGAAAAAATGCCCCATGCTAGTTTTTTGCCCAAAACACTCCAGGTATTTGACCAGGATTTTTTAAGACAGCAACATGTATTTCTTTTACACTGTTTACACTGAAAGATGCTGTAAACTGTTGATGCAATAATTAATATTAGCAACCCACTCATACGCTGACAACCACTCATGTTTTTCAATCATCTGTCTTCTATAAAGGCTGTTATGGAAACTTCAGTGTCATTGTCATTTGTTCCATTTCACTCTGAGACATTCATGTATTTTGGGGGGGAGGGGAGAAAACCACACACAAATACACATTAACTCACCTACTTGCTAAAAAATAATTACCTGCAAACATTAATTACAACTTCGAAAGTGACAGCTTTGCCAAATATTAAATTTTCAACTGATATACTTTCATTTCTATTACTGAAATTATGAAATTGATTTTTTCCTGCAGAAAAATAAAGCATGGCGGGGAGAGGGGGAGAATCTGCCTCATACCAACGGGTGTCACAAATTTGGCCACCTCATTGGTCACCCCAACCCCAGATCATGTATGAACAAGTTAAACTACATCCAGTAAAACTACATCTTGGGGAACCCTGCAGTTTGCATCCATTCAATCTGATAAATATGCATTAATTCCTATTCTTGATTCCTGCTCTTTAACAGGTTGCTGATTCATAAAAGACCTCTTCACTTCATATTACTGCAAAATTTGCTCACGTGGCCTCCTTACACAGCAAAGACTTCTTTAAGTAAATACTATCTACAAAACAGCAATATCCAGATGCCAACTGAAAGAAATTGACAAGATAATGTTAAATTTTGCTGGGATGCATAACAAATAATTTTGAGGAAGGCCATCCAAAGAATGAATCCAAGTTAAATAAATCTAAGTCACAACTTCCCAAATGTCTTCTTCATTTCATGACCAGCCAGGTAATCTCCTCACCTGCACAGCTCAATAAACCCCACTTGCCCTATACAGATTTTTGGGACTGGCAGATTTGCTCTCACTTGCTTCAGTGCCTTAAAGTACCTCTAAGTGAATACCTCAGCAGAGCTCTAGCACCCATGCCAGGCTCAAGGTTGGACAAACGTTATCCAGAAGGGTAATTTCTGAGAGCAAGTTCCCCCTTTTGGGAGGCTATGGCAAAGTCACAGCAATATGCATGCTCAGATTGTGGAAAAGAAATCCCAACTGCCACAGGTACAGATGCCAGTGCTCACAAAGATGCTCCCTGAGTGCTTCCATGTGTGATTCTACCTGTGCAGCCAGCTTTATTGAGACAACTGTGATGAAATCCAGATGTCCGTATGATTCTGTTAGACTAAAAGCATGACAATGACTTTAGACTCTGGTATTACAAAAGATAGCACTTCAGTAGTGGATTATTCCAAAAACCAAACAGAAAAGTTTAAGCTCATTGCTTGAGAAACAGTCAATTTCACCTTTTCTGCATTCATTATACAATTTAGGGAAACCATGAAGATTCCCAGCTTCATTCATTCCTTGAACTTTATCTACTGTTCACTCCCCATGTAAAGGTAGAATCTTGTAATGAGCTTTGCAGTGTTTACAGTGCAGTGAAGTGTTCCCAGATTAGGGCTTCATCTGACTGATGCCAGTTGCGCAATTCACATCAGGTAAAATTAAAAAGCAACACACGGTAGGGCAATTTGGTGAAATGTATCTCTCCCCACACTACCACTTAGGTGGAGCGCAATCAGTGATAGACAAGCATTGTGCAACCGTGTCCCTCACTACAGATATTTTGAGTAACTGTCCAGAGCTTCAGCTGTGGGTGAATATAAACAGGAGGAGAAGGAGGAGGAGGAGGAGAGACATAATTGTATCATAATCATCATCATAATCATCATCATAATATAGTGGTGATGAAACACACATATACAACTATGAAACTCTTTACACAGGATATTTTTAGTTTCAGGAAATCTAGATAGGTGGAGAACCTCTGTAGAGCCTTCACCCGATGCACAAACAAGTTTATTCATGGTGTTCTCTTGATAAGATGGATTTTCCATCATAGATCTGTGGCTGCTATTGGCTACACAAATATTACAGAAAACTTTCAAAGGGTGCACCAAAATATGTTTCAGTCATACGATAAAGGGAAGGACTTTCATGGTAGAATTTGTACCTTGTTAGAAGGAACATATCCTACCAGGCTGTATACAGAATGTTTTAAAATGTTAAACATATGAAGTCTTGGGCTTTGGGAACATTTGATGTAAATGACATTTCTGTAAATGAGGAGACCAAAACCTAAATAAACTGCATTTGCTAATTTTTAATACTTTCATATGCTTTTTTATTTTAGTGTGGTAAGATAGTTTGGTAGGATAATACAAGCTGTGCTGTTTTATACAAGTATAATCACTGATCTGTCCTGTACACATCTATACCACTGCAGTACCTTTCGACTAGTCACAGAAAAGTCAGATTAAGGCCCCCTTTCCATATTTCTAATTGATTTTCTTCAGCTTAGTTTCTTCACACATCACTTTCTTCAGTGATTAAGCTTTCCAGTTCCTATAAAAGAAACTGACATTTCAGGGACCACAAAGTTTATCTGAAGTCTAGTACTCAGAAAGGCAATGATCTATCTACCAACATAGAGACACTAGAAAATCATGGCATTTGAGATGCCTTGCCAGCTTCTAGCCCTCTTGAAAATTAGCTAATCCACCCATACTTGAGCACCTTGCAGTATAACAAAATGCCCATTTAATTTTGCAGTTTTATGCATGCTTGCTTGGAACACTGTGAAAATTACTTCTGAGATCAACATAGGGTTGCTGTTCTCACCCTACCTTTTCCCGGGTCCAAAGGAAAGGAAAATGCTGCCCGCCCCAACCCCTGCAGAAAAGAAAGAAAATGGCTTCTCTACCTTGGCCCAGAGCTTACTGCGCCTTCCACCTACGCCCCTACTCCTCTTCTGTCATTACAGCTCCTATCCAGGAAGATGTGTATGTGTGAAGAGGAGAAGTAAAAGAGAAAGAAAAAGAGCAAGTCTAGGGACCGGCAGGAAGAAGAAACAGAAAAAGAAAATGGGTGACAGCAAAAGAGAGAGCAAGGTTACGAGGATGGAGAAACAGATATTAAACAGCTGAAGGGAAGGGAAAATAGCAAGGCAGAAGGAAAACAGATAGGTAGGAGTGAGTAGAGAGAGAGAGGGAGGGGACACGGGTAAAGGTCTGTGTGGACAGAAGAAGATCAAAAAAGACCTCTTTCTGCCTGTTCAAGTGCTGATCAGCAGCAGGTTCAGAAGCAGGAAGAAGCACCTGTTATTCTTACTTGTTTCAATTTATCTGTTTATACACGCACGCACGCACGCACGCATGCAATGCATGCAGAGGGAGGGAGGGAGGGAGGGAGGGAGAGAACACATATACACATACATATTTCATTTGAAGGAACCAGGAAATGCAAGACTTTTTGTACCCTGTGGATGCTGTGTTGGTAAACTCTGCTGTAAACACATTTGTCATGAGAATTGTGCTTCTCTCTGCTCACATCAGGTTGAGGGCTATCTGCCAGTCCTCAGAGATATTCAGGTAAAAGGCCCTCATAGCCTTCAGGAAAAGCAGTCAACTAGCACCCCAGCTTGAAAATTCCAAAGAGAATCCAACATGAATTAGTTACCTGCTCACTGAAGCTTTAAAAGAGTAGGGCCAAATTCATGGACAAGGAGGTGACTATCGGTGGCTACTAGCCTTGCTGGCCAGGTGCTGCCTCCTTTACCAGAGGCAGCACGGCTGCATACAAGCTTTGGCAGGTGCACCCATCCTGCGTGAGGGATTCTATGTAGAGTTGGTTTTCCACTGTGTTAACTGAGTGCTGGACTGTAATTGTCTGATCCAGCATGGTTTTTATGTATTGATTTAATTTATTTAAAGTTTTCTATATTGTCATTCATTAAAAATCTCATGACGGTTTACAAAATTCTAATGCCTTACACCTGTGTGCATGGGACATGTTATAAAATCATAACAACCTTTTGAGACTAATATGTTGGTTTCTGTGCAGGAACTTCAGGAAAAGCCAAAGGTGCTTTGACGAGTTACAGGTATGCAGAGATTCTGATGTGGGATGCCTATACACTCCATACCTGAGACCCACAGTCAGCATCAATGCAAGTTGCCGGACATGATCAAATTGCTCTGGGGTTCATCAGCTAGCACTGGCTATACTGTTGGGAAGCCTGGGCCGTTAGAAGACTTCCATTTGTTTGCCAAGATGATGAAGGTAGGCCAGGAGTCCTTCCAGCCAAGGTTGCATTGTAGAATTGCCACTGTAGAATTCGTGGAATTTTGCAGGGGTCCAGAGGCCATTGTCTTCTATCTGTAACTCCTCTGTATTTTCCTATCACTTCTTCCATCCTTTTTCTTAGCACAAAAAGAATCTCTTAGGGAGAGAATGACAGGAAAAGTGCACAATGACTTTGGAGAGAGAGCACTAGGAGCTACCCATCTGGGAGCACTCCTGGGGCTTGGATTGTCTCCTGAAATGGAATATATAAGTTACTGCTGAGGCTTCTGATTAGAAGGAACCTTTGAGACATTCGGAAGGAAGGTTTTAAAAAAAGGTATCTACAGGGGGTATTTCTTAAGGGCCCGCCTGACATTCCTAATAATTAGTAATGCTCTTTTATTAGGTTACAGACATTATCCAGTGCCTTCTGGAGCCTCCACTTACTTCATTCCTCATGGCAGCAATGAACATCACATTGTTTCATTTATTTCTGCACATGGGGAAATGTCTAACAAGGCCGCTTTGAGGATTCACATGAAAACATATATAAAAGGCAAGTCAGTCCGACAGTCTAAAAGCCTTGTTAGACTGAACTGACTTCAGTTTCTTTTATGCTATGTAATTCAAAACTATTACTGCCTAGGACAGTGTAAGAAAGTGCATTCAGTCCAGTTCAAGCTCCTCAAACTAATTCCTGTAATCAATTTGACTCTTTGTTTGGCCTTAGTAAAGAACAAGATCGTTAGCTATGACAATGTCAACCTTTTCGTACTACCAAGTTTAATCACATTAGTGTCCAATTTAATATCTGAAAACACATTTCACACATAGGAAAGCAATTAAAGAATTAGAGACACAGGGAAGCAAAACCTCTTGGGGGCAAACCTCGATTTATTTTTTTAAATACTGTATGGCTAAAGGAATGTGTAATCTATGGGTAAAAACAAATATATCAGCAATGCTGTAGAAAATTGATGTAGTGCAATGATCAAACACCACTAATACTGCTTGCTACTTATTCCTTTAGGCTGCAATCATATGTACTTACCTGTGAGCAGGAAAGTGAATTCAATTGGATTTACTTCTGTGATCTTAAGTTTGTACCATTTGGATTGTGCTATTAGAATATACAAAAAGTGTCACGTGCATGTTTGTGTTATAATTCTTCCGACAAATCTATAAAGCTAGTTATGTATTTATTCACTTTTTCCAGATGGAGAGGCTGAGACAACCTAATGAGCTCATGACTGAAACAGGGATTTTTAGAGTAATAGCTCATCCTCTAGGCTGCCCTGTTTCACTATTACTATAGCTGGGTTCTAATTTATTTTATACACTGTTCAGTTACTCCTTCAAATATTCTTGTTTTCCATTTAGTTTTTAAATAGGGACATCTTCCTTTTACCTCCACTTTCCCCAACTGGAAATGAACTGGCCAAGAGGTCTTGCATTAAGAGCGACTGCTCTGTCATTTCCATGTTGGAAAGGAGTACAAAAGCCAAGTCTGGATGTTGTCACTAACTGTTGCACCAGAGCTACAGCTAAAATGAACACACACTTTGAAAATCACATAAAAAGTGATTTATTATCCCAGAGATTTGCAGCTAGTGTCACTGGCTTTGAGCAAGGGGTATAATTGATGTGTAGGGTGAGAAAGTATGGTAGACTCGCTGCCAAGATTGTCCTGGCAGTTTGAGCCCTCCCCATGGATCTCTGCGCAAAAAAGACTGCTCTTGCAGCCAAGTCTGATCGATATGTTAGATGTGCTTTGTAATTTTTATTTTGGTCAATCGCTTGTTTTTAACTTTATTTTTAAAATTCAAGTATACATAGGATTGTGCTAAATTCATTTCAACAATACTAGTGTACTAGAAGATGGCTTTATTTTTGCACATTAAATTTGTTGTTGTTTGTTGTTAGTTGCAAAGTCTTGTCTGACCCATTGCGATCCCATGGACAACATTCCTCCAGGCCTTCCTGTCCGCCACCATCCCCCGGAGTCCACATAAGCTCACACCAACTGCTTCATTGATTCCATCTAGCCATCTCATTCTCTGCCATCCCTTTTCTTTTGCCATCTATTGTTCCCAGCATTAGGCTCTCCTCCAAGGAGTCTTTCCTTCTCATTAGGTGGCCAAAGTATTTGAGTTTCATCTTCAGGATCTGGCCTTCTAAAGAGCAGTCAGGGTTGATCTCCTCTAGGACTGACCAGTTTGATTGCCTTGCAGTCCAAGGAACTCGCAGGAGTCTCCTCCAGCACCACATTTCAAAGGCCTCAGTTCTTTGGCACTCAGCCTTCCTTATGGTCCAACTTTTGCAGCCATACATTGCAACTGGGAAAACCATGGCCTTGACTATATGCACTTTTGTTGGCAGGGTGATGTCTCTGCTTTTTAGTATGTTGTCTACATTTGCCATAGCTACCCTCCCCAGGAGCAAGTGTCTTTTAATTTCTTGGCTGCAGTCCCCATCTGCGGTGATCTTGGAGCTCAGGAAAATACTGTCACTAGCACATTGAATAGAGTGTAATAAATGTGTCTGAAAAGGAGGCAGCATGCAGTGTGTCCTGACCACATTCAGTGCCCTACTTTAAAAAAAAAACCCACTGTAATTCCCTCATAGTGATCACATATAGTACATTTGAAGCCCAAGTATGGAATCATCTGGTTTGCTTGTGTCCTGGAAAACAAGAAGTGTGAGCCGAAGTGTGAGGCTTCGGCAAATGGGGTGGCATAGAAGCCTTCTAAATAAATAAATACCCAAGTGGAACACACTGGGTTTCATGATGCCATCTCTTTTTTAATTGTGCAGTTCTATATAAAGTAAGTTCCAGTGTTCACATTAGCTTCTTCCAAGGTAAATGTACATAGGATTATGCAAGGGTAGGCAATGTGTTGCCTTTCAATGTTTTGACCTAGAACTCCCATCTGGGATAGTGTTGCATCAAAGTTCTATCTCTATAGCATCCGTGGACTTCTTTTACTCAGCCTAGTCTTACAAAGTGAGTTAAATCTAGGAAAGTCTGAATGTTTGGAACATTATGGTTATGCAACTGGTAACCTTCTTCTGCATCACTTTCAGCAACATCAAGGCTGCTGCATGTGACATGGAAAAGAGATGCTACTTGTGAAGGAGTTGCATGGGGCTCAATTCCTGGCAAGTGGCAAGCAACCACTGAGCTTGCTTGCCAGGAATTCAGACTCACAGCCATGACAATACTGACTGGAGTCCAGGGAGCTGAGCACAGAGAATCCATTGGATTCCAGTACTGATTCTTC